TGAGAGGATGCAAATCTCTGCTAATGCAGCCCCCATGCTCTTTCTCCCATGGCATAAACGAGGATTAGGGACAGGAGATGCATGCCCCCACTTGGCATGAGGTCGGGACTGTGATGCTGCCGGGCTTGAATGCACCAGGACCCCAGTCCCACCCCAATCCCAGACAGGCACACGTCTCGCCTCTTCGGTATCTTTTATTAATGTATAGAAAATGCATTAAAAAAAGGAACTATACATAGCCTAAGAGCGGTCAGGACTAAAAATACTAGTTAACAATGGTTAACAAGCGTCGATCCCATTCTCTGAGCTACGTTTTCATTACAGGGTGGGGTAGGTTGTTTAATATATTATTTATTTATATTATTTATTTTATTTATGCATTTATTTCCTTTTATCTTTCCCCTCATTTGGTTGCATTGGTTTGTGTTTGAGTTCGTCAGAACCTGTCCAAGCATCCATTTTGTTGCCTCTGTTCTTCTTTCTTATTTATGGTTTTTAATTTTTTTGAAGTGATAAACACAATTCCAAGGTAACACCTGTACAGAGGGGGCTGTGTGTTTGTTTATTAGGTCTTCATGTCACCATCCTTCTGAGAAACCACTTACACCTGGAGAGCTGCAGGCTGGGTACTGAGATGGGTCTGGGCTCCTGCATCTCTGCAGAGAAATGCCTTTCCCTCCCCCTTATCGCAAACCTCCACCCTGGAAGGGGTAAGGAGCTGCCATGACCATCTGGGCACCATCAGGTTTTAGGAAGAGGGAAGGTGACCCTGGCGGGTACTGGTGGTCCCCAAGGGACTTGCTTGGGTTTGGTGACCATCCTGGGTTGGCAGGTTGGCAGAAACAGGGATGGGCTTCTCGCTTGGCCCTGGGACACAGCCTTTCGTTAGTGGGTGTAAGCACGAATTAAAGGGTTTTCTTGTGTGAGAGCTCTTTGCTGGAAGTGTCTGGTAAGGTCAAAGCTTGTGGGCATTGCTGGGGGGCAGAGGGCAGGGGGTGTGTGGTCACCCCAGGGTGCAATGTTGGGGACATACCAAGAAGGCGGCTCTGGGTCTGGATGAAGGGCACAGCTGGTGCAGAGGTGATGCAGAAGTGGGTATTTTGGCTCCTCCTGTATTTTGGCAGGTCACTCTAAGCCTGTTGCAGGCACAGAGCCACCTGAGCATGGGGACACCACTGCCCAAGCCCTCACCTGCTTGCTGCAGACCTGAGGACAAAGGTGGCACGATTTGTGCTTTCTGCACCCCAGTGCTTCATCTGGGGTAAGCATCACTTTGTGAAAGAGGTAGGAGGTTGGGGCAAGAGGGCATTTAGGCTGGTACTATACTTTGAGATGCCCATGGTAAAGTAATGTAAAAATAAGGAATAAAGCAAAGGTTTCTTCCCAACATTTGTGTGGCTCTGACACTCTTCCAGCATCCTTCTGCCAAAACCCAGCTACCTTTGGGGAAGGCCTGGTCTCTTTCTTTCCCCAAATTATTCATTTATAAATGCTATCTTAAGGATCACTTTACTAAAAGCAACTTTTTCTTTCAGGCCTTTTTTTTTTCTTTGGTTATATTTTAGTGCAGTATGTCATGGAAAAGTGGGCTTGGAGGTCAGACACGGATGGAAACAGAGGGTAAATTAAAATTGGGCAAGAGATGAGAAAGTGTTTCCTTCAAGGATTTTGAGGCATCTTTGAAAGGCTGTGGGGGTCCTGGGCATGCATGGTGCTTTGCTGCTTGAAGAACCTGACACGCTTCTCCTTGATGATGTTATGGGAGCTGATATCTCACAGTGGATAGTGGGGTTTCGGTAACAGCTTCAAGTTCATTTAGGGGTCTGGGGCAAGCCTGGGCCATATGAACTGGATTGCAGAAGATCACCAGAGCCCAGTGATGGCTCATAGCCAAGGTCTCCCCAAGTGAGCACTGCACAGGATCCAGGCTGGGTTTCTGGGAATTTCAGGCCTGTTGTCCAGACTTCATTCAGTCTCAACACTATGCTGATGGGGGACAGGGCCAAACTTGCTCTGGTTGGAAAATGAATTCAGAAAAAGGGCTTGCCCAACCAGTGATGGAGGGTAAAGAGAGACTGTACTTAATCACCTGGCTGTTCTGTAACATAAACATTAAGCACAAATTTGCTTGAAACCACTGGCAGGAGCTTTGTCAAAAAAATTCATCAGGCAATGACGAAAAAAAAAATTCTGGAAAATTGTCCATCTTGTAGATGGACAGTGTGAACAAGGGACAATGGCCCAAATGACCAGGTTATCGTTGCTGATTGTTTGCCTAGGCTTGGGTTGGGTTATCACCAGGAGAACAAAACCACCACGTGTAGATGTCTTTCCTTTAAAAGGTTGTAGCAACTGTGTTTCACCAAGGTAATGGAAAGGCAACACCCTGGTACTGTGTTTGAGATCAAGGACCAGCACGGGTATATAGCGGCACTAGAACATCAAATATTATCTCCAAGGGTGTCCTTCAGACTTGATGATGGAGTTGGGTCAACTGGGCCCTTTCATCCCCGTTACAGGACTTATAAAAGGGATGACAGACATAAGCAGGGACGGGGAGACATACATTAGGAAATATATTCAGAGAATAATCAGCCTTTTCAAGTATCTTCTTTTGAACCTCCTGGAAAAGCTTGGCATGTTTTGATTTTCTGCTTGACTCATACTTTTGAAAAGAGAAGTTTTTTGCCTTCAACTTGATTGAGAACGATGAGCTCCTGTGTTTCCACTGATGTCTATTCCGTTCACGTGGATAGATAAGCAAAGAGCACTATCTGAGACAGGCGATGAATGCCGTCTGCTGCCCATCACTGCTCCCAGTTACAATCACTGTGCTACAGTGCTTTTGTTAGGACACTTCTTGCCTATAAACTCTTGGTGGTGTTGGGAAAAATACTATTCTACTGGTCTACTAGGAGGCTTCTTAGGTTTTAATGAGTTCTATCTGCTGCTTCTTGTTGGCTTTAGGGACCTAAAACAGTTGTTCAGGAGGTGTGACATGCTGCCATCTGTGACACTGGCCATGTCCTGCAAGAGATCCCATCATATGCAGCCTCTCTGACTGTCCTGTTCCTCAACTGGTTGATGTCTGGTGTGATGCTGATGGGAAGTAAGAAGAGAGGCCTTGTTTACATGTGAGATGTTGCTGAGCTACAGCATCCTTCCCCCAGGTTAGACTGCAGCTTGTAAACAGACCACTTGAATGGCTGGATCCTGTATCTAATCCTGACCTTGGGATTAGCTATGATTTTGTGTGCCAGTATGTGGCATGGACAAGGAGGCTGCATTTCCTGCTTAATGCTCTTCTTCAGTTCTGCAGCCGTGGTTAGTAACGTCAGAAAATCCAGGAGCATGACCATGAAAGAGACACTGTCCTGAATTATAAGCTACTGCAAAGATGCCTTTATGTTGCCATCTGGAAGATGTTTCTTGAGACAAAGCAGCTTCAGTGTGATAAAATCAAAACCCAGTATTTAGCATTTGTATGCTCCCTTGGCTGCGAACCCAGTGATGAGCTGCATTGTCCTTGGACATGGGCACGAGTCCCTTCTCCAAGACCAGGCCAGTGACAATGCTCAGCATTGATCAGAGCTCTTGGCAGAGAAGTAGCTCCAGCATGGTGGTCATTTGGGCTACATGGAAGGGTGGTGTCAATGACAACAGAGAGCAGCCAGAGCTATCTGAAGGGTCCATTGTCCTTAAGATGGGAGAAGTTAAGGAAGGCAAGAGCGAACTCATCTATTCTTCCAAGCACTTTGAAGTGCTCCAAAATCTGAATGGACTACGCCTTCATTCCAGGAGAGGAAACAGTTGATTTCACGTTAGAGAGATGGTGATACCAAGGCACTGAGATTTGAGTCCCTCTTGTGATGATGGCGAAGAGGGGTGGTGTAGGAGGAGAAAGGGAATGGACATTTCTCAGCTTGCACTTGTCTTCCCTTGTCTGCATCATCAATCTTCCCCATGTGCATGGAGGTCCCTGAACAAGAATACCTGGGCTGTGCTCTGGGCTGTGGTTGTGTGATAGCTCTTTGGGTTGCTTGTCCTTCTCTGAGACTCTTTTTTTTGGGACCAATGACCTCTGCGAGAGACAGTGCAGTGGCATATAGAAATAGAAGAGGAAATGGGCCCTAGACTTCAAGACCACAAGTAGTGATTTTTCTCCCAAGTCCTCTAATTTGAATCCTCTCTTCTCCATCAAGCTCAGCATAACCCAGACAGATGTCATGCACCTGAGGTGGGATGAGTTCAGCTCAGAGGAGTGGTTGATGCAGGTTGAGGCTGGTGGAGCAGTTCTTGTTCCCCTGCACTCCATGTACACAAGGATGACTTTGGCTATGGTGGGGCCAACATGTGAGCTGTGGGTTCTTTAGACTTCACCTACGCATGCAGATATTCACCAAGCCCTCCTGGTGTGATCTGGGGATGGGATGAACCTTGTGTTTACTCATCCTCACTTTGTCTCCATGTGTACAGTGCCTGCATACAGGGGAGGGATGACCAGGCTGTGTACCCTTGGCCAGAAGGAGAGACAGGCCTTTGCCTGCTAGAAGAGTTGGTGTCTACAGGATGGCATGAAGCTTGGGACCTCCCTGCCTGGAGGGGACAAGGAGGCAGGGAGAGGACTGGTGACTCTGGCCATGACTTGGGTGGAAATGGCTGCACCAAGGTCCCTGTGGGGAAAGTTTCTGCCATGAGCCCCGTGACAAATATTTCTAAAAGGATTTGCTGGGGATTTCTAAGTCTTTAAAAAAATATCAAAAATCTGTCTTTCTTTCTCTTTCTTCCTGTGTTAAGGGCCAGAATATTGGGGTAGGGAAACTGGAAATTTGGCATGTCTCTGGGGCAGATGCAAAGCAATGAGGTCTTTCTTTTCCCACAAGCTTTGCTTGCGCTGTGGTTCCCTCCAGCACTTGTGAGGGGCAGGTTGCTATCTCAGGCGGGTACTAATTTCTTTTCTTCCCCTTTTCGTATTATAAAATATAAACAAATGACAGAAAAGGTCAGGTGGTGGGAGGTGGGAGGGAGGTTCAGCTGGCTCAGAGCTGTGGGGACCGTCGCTTCCTCCCAGAGATGTTACGGTGGTTATAAGGTCGCATCTTCATTTCCACGAAGGGGATGGAGAACTCGTGGCCTTTCCAATGGTACCAGTTAATCCCCTGGCAGGAGGGAGAGAAAGGCACAGGGTAAACAAAGACCCTAACACAAAACTAGAGTAGGAGAGGAAGGAAACAAGGTTGACCACCATAGAGAAGCCAGAAGGAAGAACTTGCTACAGCAGGAGCAAGAAACTCTTCTCCTGCTGTGGCTTGATGGGTTGTTCCCACTGCTGAAAGGGTCCAGATCAAATATTAGGTATGTATTTTTTTAAATGAAACTTAAAGTGCCACTGTAAATTATCATGGCAGCCAATGTGACGCATGAAGCACTAGCCCAAATGGCTTGAAGGTTGTTCCCTTTGCTCCAGCTTGTGTTGGGTCACCCCAGCAGTGCTCCTGATCCTGATGTACTGACCACGCAGCCCCAGCCCTAGCCTGGGCTTGCTGTCATGCTTGGTCATGCTGCTAGAAGAAATGCTGAAGGCTTTCAGCCCAACTCTGCCCTTACCTGACTGTGCCGGGACTCTCCGTACTTGCCATTGAGGTTGGTGCGGTGACAGTTCTTATACCACCAGGCCCCTTTGTAGGACATGGCGCAGTTGGTCACAGCGACATCATTGTCCCTGTCCTTGGTGGAGAAGGGGCGGCCCTGGTGATAGGTGAGGGAATCCCCTGTGGAAAGAGGTGCTGTTAGGCATGATAGAGCCCAAGGCATCTGGTCTTTTCACAAGGAAATTAGGATATTCTGGTATAGGTGGTAGCCTGTGGATCAACAGCTTAAGCAGCTGAAAGTCTGAGAGTAACGTTAACCGGAATTGCTCACGATTGGTTCATCTGAGGTCCTCTGCTGTTCATTTAGGATCAGTACAGAACATAGCAAATCTTCGAGGCTGCATGGGTTTGGCAGATAAAATGCTATATAGTTTTGAATCTGAATTTCAGTGTTTCAGAAATTAATTAAATCATAGATTTGGGCATCCTGATTTCCTGAAGCCTGGCTGTGCTACATAACTTCAGGATACTTGCAGTCTCCTTCCCTCCTGTTAGCCAAAGAGAACTTTTTCTCCCAGAGAAGGCCAAGCATTTGCCTCTTGAACCAAGATGCTTGGCCTTCTTCCTTTCACTAAGGGAAAGGACCTTTTGGAAGGTGCATGATGTCTTATTCCACCAAAACCACCAACCTCATCTCCCCTCCTTTCTAAGGAACAAGAGAGCTGATTTGGGGTGAAAGAAGAGCCAAAGTAAAATATGGTTGTTATTACAATTGAGTGATGTACTTACAAGAGACTTTCTTAATATGCTCCTTGGTAGTCCCTAAGAAAATATGAAGTGGACCCATGCTAGCTCTGTGCAGTCCAGCCAACGAGAGGCTTGCTAGAAAACCTCTTGGCAATGAACCATTTGGCGAATCCTGGTTCCCTTTGCTTAAGCTGGAGCAGAAGCTCCTTGATTGGATGGCTAGAAGAGCTGGTGTGAGGAAAGGGAGGGAGTCATGTCTGCAGCACTGTTACTGGCATTTTTGGCAATAGGTTGGGTGCCTTGTGCCCTGGGACTTAAGATCAGAGAGAGTTCTGTGTTGCACATAACCAAGATCCCTGTCTCTTCTCTTCCAGATATTTTATAAGAAAAATTCTGCATCTTAGATATGATGTGGGTTTCCTCACTAAGTACATGGCGGTGAAGTTTTGTATGGGTCACAGAGGCTCGCAGTCACTGGGCATGTCTATCCCAGCTAGAGGGGCTGCAGCTGCACCCCTCTACCACTTCTCAGGGAAGACACCCCCTCCCTCCATCACCCACTGTTTTCTGGTGGGCAAAGACTGGCCCTGATGGGTCAACCAAGCAAGCAGGTGTGAGAGTGTCCTTGCAAAACCGGACCGTGTTTGGCCTCTGTGTGAGGAAACGATGCAGAGGGTTTCAGATTTTTCCATTGCTGTGGGAGGGTGATAAATACACCCTCCAGCATGGCATCAATAGTGAGCTGCGGTGATTGCCAAGTGAGATGACACCTCTGACGATTGACGTGGTTTTTTGAACAGCAATGCCTCTGATATTTCATAACTAATCCCCAATGGAAAATTCCCTGTGTCCTTAGTGGGATTTATCAGCCTGGTTTACATGATGGACTGCAGGAAGGCAGAAAGGGCTATGGGTTTGTGTCTTGCTGCCCCAGACAAGTAAGCTTTGATACTGAGATTTCCTTTACAGTTTCAGACCCACCAGTGCCAGGATATCCCTACTACTTGATAGCAATGAGATTGTACCCGAAGTGCCGTTGTAGTCCCCAATTCGCAGCTTGTACAGGCTCCGGGAGTCGCCAATGGAGAACTTGTCATAGTAGGCATATGCCACTTCCTGGCCGTCCCTCATGTCTATTCGCAACTCGTAGCGCCCTTGGGACGTGATCTTGTGGATGTTGTCCAAGCCTGACGAGGCAAGCAGTGAGACACCCAGTGAGACCCAGTGCCTGGATGTTCTCCATGAGCAAACAAAAAAAAACTCTAGGCAAATAAAACAGCTAGGGGAAATGAGACCAAAGGGAGGAACCAAAGAGCAGAGCTTCTGGTTAAGTCTTTGTCTCTCCTGGCACTGGTGGGGTCTGAGCAATCTGTCTCCACTCAAGCTTCACCTCCCCGTGGCTATGAAAGGTGGGTTCAAGGACCGGGTTCAGCTTTCTCCATGCTGCTGAAGCTGGAGACATTCAGCTGGTGCTTCTCATGTTGCTGCTAAGCTCCCATACAAGACAGAGAATGTTTATGCTGCAGGGCTGACCTTGGCTGATGTTCAGGTTTTGGGGGAGCACACTCTGTTTCAGAACTGTGCTGTGTCTCCCACTCACCCCTTTCCTACTTTCTTTGGGCAACTGGCTTGCTGGCCAAGGCTGGGTGAGGTCCGTGGGCCATAGATCCCACCTGTAGTCGTTCAAAGGAGGATGATGGGTTTTGGTTCATGAAGACCTCCAGCATACCCCATACTCTCCCAGGAGGAGCAAATTAGGGAGCTGCTGGCCTTCACAATGTGCTTTTATGTGGTATGCCCATGAGTGACTTTCTAATGTGCAGGACAGGGAATGAGCAACGGAAGGAAAACTGTCCAAGGGAAAGCATAGAGGAATGGGGTGAAAGGCAAGGAGCCAACAGCTGGCACAGGTGAGCAGCACAGTGTATGGGGAGCTTGGGTTTGACATGTCAATGAAAGACAACTGATTAAGGTCTTACCCAGCCAAAACTCATCCTCCAAGTTTCCAAAGCCAACCCGGTAATCTGCCCATTTTCGAAAGAAATCAGTCAGCCCATTCTGCCGCCTCTGGAAGACCTGCGGTGGGGGAAGACCGGGGAAAGTCAGTGTGAAGGAGAAGAGGGATGGCCTCGCCAGGCTTTGAGGCACACAAAATAAAGACAATACTTCGTCTTTCCATCACGCCTTTCAGGGGAGAAAATTGCAATGCCCATCCAGTTAGTGTTAATTGCAGCCATGCAATGAATTCCTGTGCAGATGGAGAAACTGAAGATATGTTAGATGATGTCCAAGGTGAATCAATGTTATAATAGGGAGGAATCAGTTTTCAAGCTTTCTGCTCTGCCTGACGCGTGGTGCCTCTGGCTTTCTAGCATATGATTCTGCTTGTGGCTGGCTCTTTCTGTGATGATATTCAAGAGGATGCATTTGGGCGCATTAGGAAGAGTGTGGCCAGCAAGTCAAGGGAGGTCATTCCCCCTCTACTCTGCTCTGGTAAGGCCACACCTGGAGTACTGTGCCCAGTTCTGGGCCCCCCAATTCAAGAGAGACAGGGAGCCACTGGAGAGAGTCCAGTGGAGGGCTATGAAGATGATGAGGGGACTGGAGCATCTCTCATATGAAGAAAGGCTGGGAGACCTGGGTCTCTTTAGCCTGGAGGAGAGAAGACTGAGAGGGGATCTTATCAACACTTACAAATATCTGAAGTGTGAGTGTCAAGGGGTTGGGGCCAGGCTCTTTTCAGTGGTGCCCAGCGACAGGACAAGGGGCAGCGGGCACAAACTGGAACACAGGAGGTTCAGCTTGAACATGAGGAGGAACTTCTTTACTCTGAGGGTGGCAGAGCCCTGGAACAGGCTGCCCAGAGAGGCTATGGGGTCTCCTTCTCTGGAGATATTAAAAACCCGTCTGGATGCAGTCCTGTATGAGCTGCTCTAGGCTAACCTGCTTTGGTGGGGGAGTTGGACCAGATGACCTCCAGAGGTCCCTTCCTACTCCTTCCAACTACCTACAACTGTGATTCTGTGGCAGAGTGAGATGGAGGCAAATTTCCTGGCTAAAATAGCATCTGTGCTAGAAATCAACGTTTGAGGAAGCCCATTTTTGTTTGTTTCGACTATACATCTAGCGGAGTTTTGTGTAATGCATATAAGTACGCGTTTGACACAAATAAAATCAAAGCACCAGAGCATTATTTACTTAAGCTGTCAGTCCATCTATGTCAAGACGAGCAGTGCTTGTGCAATTCAAAAGCCAAACAGGCATTTTCTTCTAAAATGCTGCTGTGCAGACTCAATCGGCGTGATGCCTGACATCCTCCTACTGCAGGCAGTGTGAATCATTCCCCATGAAAGCTATTGGCCATTAATTTCATTTCTAGAACAATAAATCAGCTTCACTCTCAGATTTTGCTCTCCAGAAGCACTGCAAACATGTCAAATAAATCAAAGGGCATTTCTCTAAGTGTAACTATTATTACTGGAGCGTGGGCCATTCCCTATGGCGTGGGAAATGAAGTGTGCCATATTAAGCCTGCTGTCGTTCCTGTGCAGTGTGGTGCTTGGCTTTGCTGGTAGGATGAGGCTGGGTTACTTTCTGATGGGGACAACATGTAGGACAACCACACGGCCACTCACAATCCAGCCACCTCCATCAGTGGTCATGTCACAGTAGACCTGCACCCGCTGGCTGAGGTCCCCGTTAATGGAGATGGTGTAGATGCCGCTCAGCGTGTCTCCATTCATCAGGTGCTGGGCGCAGTCCTGAGGATTAGCGAAAACGCGGCCGCCTGTGAAATTAAATAGAAAAAGCAAAATTTAAGCAGAGCGACATCCTTTCCACATGCCTTGGGCACCACTGATTATGCTCCGGGAAAAGTCTAACTTGGCTTTGGCGTCCCAAGGTATTCTGCAAGGCAGCAGGACTTCACACCTGCCAACAATATCAGAGGATTTATTGGAAAAAAAATGTGTGCATATATTAACTAATCTCCCATATGTCCTTTATTGGAAAGGTACATGGTAACATCACTATGAATAATGAGAGATGTGACTTCTTGGACCATCTTTCTGCACCATGTCTGAAATCCTGGGGCTTAAGCTGTCACCAGCATATTTAGACAGCTATGAAAATACCAAAACCTGTTCTCCTCTCAGGATTGCCAGTTCCAAACAAGGTTTATGACTTTACTGATTCTAGGGGGATTCTCCTGATCCATGCCCTTGGAAATGATGGTGGGCTTATGCTGGGCTGATTGTCACTTGCAGACTGAGCAGGAATTAGGCTGTGCAAGATGCTGGAGATGGGCAGCATGGGCCATGTGGCCGTGCTTCAGGTGTCCTCTAATGAAGAAATGTTGGGGGTCAGAGTTTAAGAGAGTCTTAACTACAAGATCTCAGCAGTATTGGGGTCTCAACTCTGGGTTAATTTTTTTTTTATCATTTAATGTAAAAGGGGGAAATAAATCTTTTTCTTTGTTGTTGGTGTATATGGATGATGGGATAAATGGGTGCAGAGCTGTTAACATGGATGTAGCTTTTGAGGGTGTCTTCGCTACACATTGAGAAGGTGTAAAGGACATGCTGTGCGTGTCTGTCACAACTGTGTGATACCCTGTAGGACCAGGGTACAGACCCTTGTCTGTGATTTCCCACTTGGGTGTATTCCCTCCACCCTTGTGACCTGAAGACTCGGAGGTCATCACTTTGTCCAAATGTTGAATATCCCCTACTTTTCTGTCTCCGTGGTCTGAAGCAGACGGCCTGGTGAGACAGTGTTTGTATTTTATAGTATCCAACAAAGAAAACTGCTTCAAAGACAACCACTCCAGACTCCCCTGAGCTCTGCGGAGATTACTTGTTTCTTAATTTATATTCATATCTTTAAGAGCCAAGGAGACCTTGAAAGACATTTCAAACCACTATAAATTATAAATACTGTATCTGTTTCTTCCTTTTGTCCCATCTGTATACAATTCCCCAAGAACCTTATGCAAACAAGAAACAAAGAGGCCACGCTATTAATATGTCAGAGGGAATGGAAGAACCCGAGGATGTGTACTGTGAGCAGAAGGAAGCCACTTTTCTTTTTTTTTTTTGTCTCCTTAAAGACAAGTCCTTATTCTCCACAAAGTGCCCTGATGCGCTGCCAGAGTAAATTGAACCCCAGACCCTGAGTCTTCGCTGAGGGATGTTGCCCATGGATTCTGTTGCCTCGGTGGTTGTTCCTGGATTCTTCTATCTCATCAATATGTGGTGTAAGTGGGGAGAAACTGGGGTCTTGCTGATATCTATCTTCATCTTAAAAGCAAATTAAAACTGTGTTCAGCTGCTGCATCAGCTAGCAATGGTGTCTCTAACACTGCTGAGGTCTGACATTTGTATTTAGTGGAAATGGTGTTCTCTTTGCCTGATGTGAGTGGGTTTCTGCTGTTTTATCCCAGCTGAGAAGCCAGGTCTGTGCAGTTTCATTCCTGACTCCTGAACAGCCTCAAATACCGCACGCATTTTTCCATCACCTGCCTGAATTGCACTGGCTTTATGTGCCTGCGTAAGAAGAAAGAATAACAGGAAATCCTGATCTGTAGATGCATTAGAGAAGAGTATTTTCTTTTTTTGTTGATGTAAATAGTTTCTATTATCTCTTAAAAGCAGGTGAAGGGACCTTTGCATGTAACCATGATGGGGAAGTTTATCCACGGCAGATTCAAAGAAAACTCTCCTAACCAAACTGGCAGCACAGATAGGAAGAATTTTGGTGGACATCATCTTCAGGCTTCATAGTGCTCTTGAAGCCCAGGAGAAACATAATTGGATTCAGCCCTGAATAAAATGCACTCTGTTAAGTGCCTTGGCCTAGGAAGGCTTTTCAAAGAGGGTGAGGAATTATATGCTTTGCACAGTTTCTAATGTGAATGATTGTAATGGGTGGGGGCAATGGTGACATTTTCATGCCAGCTTCACTTGTGCCAGTGTAAGCACTCTGTCTGTGGGGGTTACAGTGGCTGTGGATGCCCACTGTTTGACTGCCAAAGTAAACCATTCCTGTTGCCTTAGTGAATTGTGACTTCTCTAGAATTAAAGGGCAAAGGAATAATGCAATTAGATAAATCGGCGGGACCACAGTCCTGTGGACATGCTGACTTTGCTGTCTGTGACACCACTGATGGTGGTGGAGATGCAGCTGCTTGATATTTGTGAGAGATTGGACCATGTCTACAGCATGAAGAGACCAGATGGGTCTCTTCCCACTCACTCCAAGACCATACCTGTTGACACGTGTTGTTGAGCTTTGTGGGGTTTTTCCTCTATTCATGTGTTTGAGGAGGAGCAAGGGCAAGGCAAAGGGTCTGGTAGATGGTTCCTGGTCTGAAGCTCAGATCCCCTTGCCCTAGGCTGGGACTTATGTTTGTATTATAGATCCTTCAGCCATTAACTTTTCATAGCAAAGCAGCACTGTTGGTCATGGCAATGAGTGTACCCCTCTGTGGATTGTGGTGAAACACCACCTGAGGAGGGAAAGCCCATAAAAGCAGTCCATGTCTACCAGCACAGTATGTGGGCTAAGCCCCACCTGGCTGAGCAGATGCAATGCGAGTCCTCACCTGTGGTGAAGGTGGTGGAGATGAAGCCGCTTCGCATGGTGTTTTGGGCTGCTTGCAGGCGCACAGTGTACTCTGTGGTCTCAGAAAGCCCCTCCAGGCGGATCCATGTGTCCTCAGCATCCACAATCAGCTCCTGTACATGGGTCCCAGAAGGAGGTAGACACCAAGAGCAACAGATGAGAAAAGCGATGGGGAGCCTAAAGAGCAAGTGAGGAGGGAAGGGAAGCGACAAACTACTGCAGCCCTTAGCCTGATTGGTGAGGAGCATTGCATGGCTGCTTACATCCCTGGACTAAGTCAATGTGAGGTCAGTGAATACATTAAAACTTTTGGGATGGTTTGGGTGGGAGAAAGCTAGCTGGTTTGGACACAGGAAATTTAAATATTTGCAGTCTGTGTGCTCTGTTTACCGACTCTGTTGGGATCTGCATGCCTTCAATATGGGGCATGAGTGATTGCCCAAGCATCACAAGGAGTAGAGCTGTCCAAACCTGGTTATCAGCCAGTTTTGACTCTGTCAGTTCCTGTCACATTAATTTTTCTGGTCATCAGCCAATACCACATAGTGTTATATCGTACCGCTTCTGCAAAGCTATTATCCTCTGGCTGCTGCAAGCCAGTCACACCAGCAAAGGAAATGAGACTATTTGTGGTGACGTATTTCTGATAGTGTTTGTAGCAGCTCTTCCAGACATGCAGATATGGACACATTCATTAAATAGTCAAATATATTGTATTGCGGGATTAATTAGCTGTCTGTAGATATCTTCTGTTTTGCAAGAAGGATAAATGGCATTTTTAGCATCTCTGTTTGTGGGATTATTTTCTCCTGCCTCAGCTTGCTTGTGTTTCATAAGTTGTGAATTTCTCCTGTTCCTCCAAACTTTCCAGGTATGCCCTCTTTGCCCAGACCTGCAGGTGTGCATAAAGATTTTGCCTTAGGCATTCTGTTCGTGCTTTTTCCAGTTATTTATCTAAAGTATTGCTTATGCAGAAATTAGCGTCTACCCTTCTAGTCTCTCTCTGACCTAATGAGCACCATTCTTTTGCTTTGTTGGGTTTCTCCTGCTCATTTCTCCACGGTCATGTTATTCCCTGACTTAATAAGCCTCTTTCTTTGTGAGGACTCACTTACCTTCCGGCTGCCGTCCGTGGATCTGTAGGTCATAATGTAGTTCTCGATCTGTCCCACAGGAGGCACCCAGGAGAGCAGGGCGCTTCGTCGAGTGACTTCACTGGCCGTCAGATTTGTTGGAGGATCCAAAACTGCAAGGGTGGAAAGGGACCCAGGGAAGTCCAAGTTCTCATACATGACCACCCCAGCCCCACTTCCCAATTCAGTGCACTGGGATTCAACCTTGCAACCCTGAGCCACAGTCCAAAGTCCCTCCTCGCCCTCAGTTTCCAGACTTCGTCACCATCCCCAGCCTTGAACAGAGCTCTGCAAACCCTCTAAAAGTTCTCCTCTACCTGCATGCTCTCTGAAGGGTAACAGCTCTAAACTTCATGTGCTATGGGGCCTGTCAAGCTTTTTATAAGCAAAATAGGTTGTAGTGCTCTTCTGGACTATGGCCTTGGGCAAGAAAAAGACCTGATCAAAGGTCTTCTCGGGAAGCCACATCCAGGGAAAATCAAAGAAAGGGGTGGGTGGATGTTGAAAGAGTGAAAATGATGTTTGAAGCTTGTGTGATTAAAATTCTGTTCTTGTGTTATGCCCAACACCATTATTTGGGTGTCCTTTTAGCACATGGCTACTTCTACACACACATGTATGTGACAAGAGCTTTGTATCAGTCTTGCTGTCTGTTTTTCCTGCGGTGGATGTATGGCTAAGGGCATGTAACAGGCAGTGGGGGAGGTAACTGTACATACGAGTTGTGAAGTTGGTGCTAATGATCTGGCTGGTGAGAGGCCCATTGGTGGCATACATAGAGACTATGTAGGTGGTACTGGGCAGGAGGCTGGTCAGCTGGTACTCCTGGTTGACTCCATCCACAAGAATTGTTTCTCCTGCAACTGTAAGCCAAAAGAAATGAGTTAGGGTAGATGTTCAAGGTAGTGCTCCAAAATGCATCTATGGATATGACCTCATGAACAAAAGCACTCATATTGCTGAAACAACATGAGCTACTGTGCAGCAGTTGAGCTGTAGTGGTGGTGTTCGGTCTGAAGGATGGTCTTATTTTTCCCACAGTCCCTGTATTGGCCTGATACTTTCCCTTCAGCAGTGGGTTTTGTTGAGTTTGCCACACACCAAGTTTCTGTGGGATGGGTACTTGCTTGCCCTGGGGTGCTGCTGGTGGGACAGCTAGCAAAGCAGGAGGATCTCAGTTCCTCCTGTGTGGACTGCCATGCTCTGAGGCTTGGTGGGGGGCAGTGGAAAGCACATGCCATGGGACCTGCACAGGAAGAGCTGGTATCTGGGGATGGGGTACAGCCCGCCACCCACCAGCTGCTGCCCTCCTGAAGCAAGGGCTCCTTCCTTGCTCCCTCCATGGAGGGCACCCACTGAGCCCTGGGCTTTGGGGTGGAGGTGAGCTGAAACAGAGCCGCAGCATACCTGCGTGGCGGGTGAGGATGAGGGTGTAGCTTTCCACCTCCGACAGTGGTGGGTTCCACTGCAGCAGCGCCTCGGTGGGGGTGATGTTGGTGGCCGTGACCCCCAAGGGGGCATCCATAGCTGCATAGGGGACAGATTCAGAGAGTCAAAGGCATTAAGAGACTGGGCTGTGAACTGGAAGGGCTTCTTGTGGACCATTGCTCATGGTCCTGCCTTGCTCCCCAGGCATATATAGAGGAGCTATTGCTGCCCTAGCTGGAAAGCAGAGATGTCATAGCTTTGCTACTCTGCTACTTGGGCTGCTCTTCTACTGTTTTCCTCATGCACAGCCTGGGATGTTATGGATTTTTTTAGGTTTTGAGAAGTCTGGGGACAGCAGATGCTGTTTGTGTCAGGTCTTCCCCAGGAATTATTTCTGGAAGTCTGTACTCACTTTAGGAATGGTTGTCATGGTTGCTCAACATCATTTCTCTGGCTTCGCCATGCCTGGTACACAGATTTATCACTACCCCCCACGACTACCCATGCATAATCGGGAAAGGCTTTTCTTAGACATAATTCAGAAGTCCACATTGGGCCCTTGTGAGCTTCACCTATCATCTTGAGCTTGCATCAGCCCAGTGTGAGGTCCAGCTTGCTCTCAGCTGCCTGATTGGTAGCGCAAGCGAGGGCTGCCAGCCCTGCCCAGGGCTCGACCTGGCACTGCTTGATTGCTACCTGCCCACCAGGAGCTCCTTCTCACCTGTGTGCACAGTGATGGAGGCCACCTCGCTCTCCTCCCGGCCCCGCACGCTCTTCACCCCGATCTCGTACTTGGTGGCAGGCTGCAGGTGACGGAGGGCATACTCGGTGGCGTCGCTGACGATGGAAGTGCTGTCTGTCCTCCCTGCAGGGATGGAGCCAAGAGCTTTGGCATCATGGCTGGCCCTATCCCTGGGGTACATGAAGTGCTCGGGAGGAGAGGGAAATGTCACAAGCCCTCTCCAGGGCTGACACTGGGGGAAACTGGTTTTGTGCCTGCAGGTGCACACCTCTATGCCCATCACTCTGCTGCCTTGACCTTTTAAGCATCATAGGCAAAACTTGGGCCAAGGGAGATCAGCAGGGGGAAGCAGGTGAGGGAGGTGGGATTTCAGTATCGGGCCCTGAATTAACCATCCTTGGGGAGGGCACACTGCAGGGGGGCACTTGGCTGCAGTGGTCCCTTCCCATCCTCATCCCAGACACTCCATCCGCGGTCCCTGCAGCCTCTTGGTCCATCCCAGCTATCGGTGGCTTTGCCCAGGGCACCAGGGTATTTCCTGGGGTGAAAATGTCTTGCTCACACCAGCAGAGGGAGGGAGAGCTGGCAGCTGTGAGCTCAGGGTATGAGCAAGAGTAGTCTAACCCATTACCTTCGGCGGTGCGGTAGAATATTCTATAGTGGTCAAAGGCAGCGATGGGCGGGCTCCAGTAGACCATCATGGACTCCTGGGTGATGTTGCCCACCCTGAGATCCTTCGGCGCATCGATCCCTGGTGAGATGGAGCAGAAAGCAAAGCTGTGGGAGACAGGTCCGCTCGCTGTCCCCCTGCCTACCCTCTTGGCTGGGTCCCATGCCTGGTGGGGGGGGTTCTGTGGTACCTGTTGTGATGGAGCCCACAACAGGCTCAGAGCTGATGGTGCCATGCACAGCCACAAGTGACACCAGGTACTCGGTGGCAGGCTGCAAGCCCATCAGGCTGGCATGCCTGCGGGTGCCATCAAGTGTGACCTGCTGTGTCTCCTCCTCATCCCGGGGGCTGTAGGTGAGGATGAGACGGTCTGCTGGTGGGGATGGGTCGCTCCATGTGACATTCACACTGGAGGATGTCAGCTGGGAGAAGTGGAGCTGTGTGATGGGTCGTACCCCTGCAAGATGGAGAGGGGAGATGCAACTTCAACTATATGCAGATCCTGGCCTCTGCATTTATTCCCAGCACTTGTATGGGAAATACCCAAGACAGGTGGCAATGCTAGAACTCTGGGCTCCAGATTGATCTGAAACCGCTGGGATCAAGAGACAGAACTGGGAGGGGAAAAATGGTGCTTTTCTCAGCTTTTCCTGCAAACACCCTCCATCCTAGACCCATATGGTGGGTGATGGGGCTGTCCCACTACAGATGGTATATGTTGTGTGGGCTTCTCGACTGCAGGCTTTTGACACACAGATTCTTGTGAGGTCCCTCAAGGATTCATTTCTCCTTCTTATGGACATGCAGGCCACCCTGTCCACAGAAGACAGCATATCTGTTCTCCCAACACTGCCTTGTCCTTATGGGAGCCTCCAGCCAAACAAGTGTGCTCAGTGCTGCTGGTGAAGGGTACAGTGCCCCCACACTGGTAGGGCCACCCTCCTTCTGAGGTCAACGGACCTGCTCCCACGTGGATGCGTTGCCTCTAGCTGTCATCCCCATCACCATCTCAAGAGTTTCAGCACTGGAGAAGCGGTGGGCTAGTGGACATGTCAATATGGGGTAGTGGTGGGCTAGCGGACATGCCGACATGGGGTAGTGGTCTGTCTCCTTGGCCCCATCCCAACTTGTCTTTCTCTACCTGTGAAGGCATCCACGGTGGCCTCCAGGCTCTGCTGACGTCCCCTCTCGGCAATGATGGAGATGGTGTACTCGGTCCCAGGCTCCAGCTCCAAGAGTGTGAGCTGTGACTCGTCCCGGGGCACTGTCACTTCAGAGGCCATCCCTGAGGCAGGGGTGAAGGTGATGCGGTAGTGGTCTATGGGACCCGTGGCTTTGGTCCAGGCTAGCGAGATGGACGTCTCTGTGGAGGCAGTCACCAGGAGGTCCCGGGGGCTGTCAAGCTCTGTGAGAGAGGGTTGGTGCAGACCTTTGTCCCCATGCATGGACTGTCCCATGGGGACATCTGAGACATAGGAGCCAGCTGTGCTTGGAGCACACAAGGGGGCCAAACTCACCGGTCCTGGCGTTCATGGTTGCTGGCACGCTCTGTTGGTTGTCCATCACAGCGGAAATCCCAATGCCGTACTCTGTCCCTGGCACTAGATCTGCCAGGGGGTGCAAAGGACATGAAGGGGTGTGAGAGCAGTGCCTGGCTAGGTGGCTTTGGGGTGTAACCCCCTCACCTCCCACAGCAAGGGATGGAGGGGACCCTTCTGAGCATCTCTGGGGTGAGCAGCCCTCCTACAGGTCAGCAGTTCCTCCGTGTGATGCAGAAGAGCTGAGCCTTTTTAAAAAGCACCGTGGATGCCTTTGGACAGGGAATTTGGATTATTCTAGCTCAGAAATAAGCAATTTTTAAAAGTTATGGCTGAGGTCTGCTGTAATTGCTGGCATAGAGATAGAAATCGTGTGTGCGTATGTGAGCTGAGAAGGGAACGATAAAGTAGCTATGTTTGTTTCCAAAGTGATTCAACGTCAAATATTGTCACAGGGCTGGTGTCTTGAAGAGAAGTAAATTATACAAAGTAAATGAAATATACATTAATTAGGAAAGGCATAGACTTTCTGGGAACCCAATCAAGTGCTGCTCCTTGGGATAGATGTATCCTGCAGTGCCTCTCTCAAGGGACATGGGAATCAAACTCCTGTACTTTGCACCTCTTGCTGATCTCTGTTTTATCTCCATGGGACCTCTCCTGCCTCTGCCTGTCGCTTCTGCTTGGCCGCTGGCAGCTTTATTCTCCTCCTCCTGGTGCTTCATGATCCTTCCCACGGGGTTAGAGAAAGCCATAAACCCTCCAGCCCCACCTCACCTTGCCTTGCCCAGGGGCAGCATTCCCTGAAGCCACTAAAACCTTGCTCAAGAGGCCAGGAGGGAGGGAAACCCCTCTCTGCTGCTCCTCTCCTCTTGCTGTGGTGCAGTATTGGTGCCAGGGGTTGCAGGGGTGGGGAATGGACCCCCTTTGCCCCTGCCCAATAAGTGTCAGAAGTATCCTCAAAAGGAGGAGATCCTGGGAGAAAGGGGGAGGAGAAGGAAGATATGAGCAGAAGCATATAAACGATGCCTTTTCTCTCCCAGCTCATTTGGGTAGAGCAAAATTACAGGTATTTCTGTGCAAATGCTGATTTTGAAGAGAGACATATGGGGCAGGGCATGGCTTGCCATGTTTTTAAGCTTAAATCTTTGATAAGCTCTGCTCAGTGCTGTTCCTCACTGCTTTTCCTGAAGACAGATGAAGGTGGCTGAAGGAATCACTTGTTGCTTTCACATCGTGGATCCCACTAAGTCCCGGGTGGCTGGAAAGCCACCTCAACAGGCTTTGCACCATGTGCAAGAAGACTTTGGAGGACAGGACTACCACGTGCGTAACGGAGCTATGGGAGAGGCTCATGTACCATCCATGCTATGGCTATCCTGGCTCTTTTTTTTGCCATCAGAATGTTTTTTGGGCTATGATTATATTTTTTAAGAAGTTTGTTTATTGCATAGTACCCTGGGAACTAGAAGCAATGCACTTAGGTGGTGATGGAGGCACTACATAAAAATCGCTCACTATCAACTTGAGCTTTGCATCTCTGGAGCTTGCTCCACGGGGTTTTGTTGTAGCCCTGCCTGAGTCTGGCAGAGTCTTGGCAGCTTTTTTTGCTTTTATTGGGAAAAACAAGAGCCTTCAGGCTGCCACATCCTCAGAGGCAAGCTTGGGCTCTGCCATGGGTGTCATCACAGTTTGGGTCACTGGGGTAGTATGATCCATCTCTGCTCCAGGGAGGGGAATTTGGCCCATTTTTAATGCTCTTTCTCAGCTAGAAAGGCAGTAAATATCCTAGAGGAAAGCTAGCAGGTGACCAGCACTGTGTCTCTGGTCTCATCCTGCTTCTCCATGTGTGTCCTCATCATGAATGTAGCAGAAACTATCCCTAACATTTTCTTTTTTCTGCATACCATTTTTCAAGCTAACTGCTCTAATTGCTTTCCTGCCCTCCAGCCTTTCTTGTGACTTGGTGCTGCTGTGCCTGTAACTTTGCATTTGACTTTTCCACTGAACTTACTTACTCCTATAGTTCCATATGGCAGAGATGCCTGCGCCCTCTTCTGTCTGGGGAGGTCCCAGGAGGGCAAAGAGAGTCAACATGGAAGAACCTGGTGTCCTGCCATACTGAAGAACTTCAAGCTGAATGAGTGATCTTTTTTGTATATGCATGTCAGTCTTTTCTTTGCTTAAAAAACATGCCAATGGAGCTGCAAATCTGGCAGGCAAGCAGTTGTAGTTGAAAAAAAAGGAAACCAGATGTCACACGGTGCTTTGCTGTATTGCTGCAAAAGGTGTTTGGGACTTTCCGGGCAGTGGGAGGCGGGTGAAGTTTGCAGCCCCTAGTTGCACCCCCTGTGCTGGCCTGAATAATGCACCGCTTGAAGGACTTCTCAAAAATAACAACTCTGGATTTGGATCTGCTTTGTGCCCAATTTGGAAAATGGCAAAAAACCCAGGCAGCCTGGCTCCCTATCACTGCCTACAGGGCATCTGCACCTGTGGCCTTTTCCCAGCAAAGAAAAAAAAAGGAAAGGCAAAATAATATTTTCCTCTAGATCAGCCTAAAAAGGCTTCCTCTCCCCATTTCTCACTTTGCTCTTTGCCAGCTCTATTTGGCATCTGGGCAGACCCTTGCTGGAGGTGCATCACTTGGAGGTGTGTAGCTCAGCTCGTGGATAAGTAGTGCCCAAATCCAGACCCACAGAGGTGAAAATGAGCTTCATCCCAAGGAAAACCATCTCTCTGGTAACTAATAAACTCCAAAACGGCCTCAAATATGTGTCATCATAAGGGCAACTGAACATCGGTGCCGATTTGGGCTCTCCATTGCCCTGCCTGCTTGAGAGGATGGGCCAGGGGCAAGGGGAGAAGGACACGTTGGTGCACGCATACCTGCAAGGGTGGCCCGGGTGGTGGGACCGGTGTCACGTGGCACCAGGACTTCATGGTAGTGCTCCCCAGCCAGGGTGCTGTAGACCACCCTGTAGCTCTGTGCCTCAGCCTCGCTGTTGTCCCAGGCGAGTTCGAGGCTGGTGGGCGTCCGCGAGCCCACCCTCAGGTTCTTGGGGGCATCAATCTCTGTGCAACACAAGGGAGAGAGGCACCATCTCACTACTGGGCACCGGGAATGCACCCAGTAGCCTTGGCATGGCTAAATGGCAGTGGAGGAGTACCCGGGTGTGATGTCCGCGAGGTCCCATTTGCAGTCTCTCCGCCCTGGGGTGCGTCCCCACAGAAAGGGCTGAGATGTCTGCTCTCACCTCCTACTCAGCACAGACCAGGAGATGCCACCCATGAGGCTGACATAAGTGCTGCAGCATTCACAGCATCCCTCAGCATGTCGCTTCAGGAGCTAATTGCATGTTATTTGAAAAAGAAAAGAATTTTCCCCCTGTGTTAGAGTAAGGGAAAATGAGGCAGCATGCGTAAGAGAAAAAGGGCTCTGTGGCAGTCATGCATTGGCCTGAAATGCTCTTAGAAGAACCTTGAACATCTTTACAGGCTCATTCACACTCAGACATTGCCCAAAGGTTTTGTTTATTAACTGCTGAGGCTGTGCACTGAATCTGCTCTGGTTTGCATGATAAACCTCTCTAGTGAGTGATGGGTTGGTGCTAGGCAGGGGCTGGGCGCCAGCAGATGGTGGGTAATTACTACTCCTTGATAGATCTGAGTTTAGGGGGAATTTTTTATGTTGCCTTTTAGAAATAAAGCAAGGAAGGCCAACACAGCAAATCAGTCGGGGTGAACATCTTGTCCAAAATATTTATCTATAGAGATATATACACACACAATTCACACACCACAGTTATTATAGTAGGAGCCTAGTATTCACCAGTAACGTACATGACAAGTAATTTATATACCTTAAACCAGCACTGAAATACACGCTTTACCTCCTCCTTTATGGCATGGTAAATTAAACCTGTTAGCTATCTGCAGGCTTAACATTAATTAAAGTTTTACCGACCAGTTAGGGTATTCAGAGAAGATATAAAATAAGATAACCATGTTTCTGACTGGGCTGCTTTCAGCTGCTGATTCCTTGGGCAAGGCATTTGAATGGGAGCAAGCATCGCCTTGAATTCAGACCCGTGCTTGCTGTTTTGGTACTTTCGAGAATTGCATGTTGACCTATGGGTGCTATTAAGGGCATAAACTGCTGGGGGTTTAAATTTTAGCTGTGGGTTCAAGCTAAGCTGTGGGTCTGAACGGGCACTGAAGCTGGTGGTGACACAGGCAGCAGTAGGTTCAGCCTTGGTGCTGCAGCAGGACATGGCCAAGGTGGGGTTTGCTCAGGGAACTGTCATTTAAATGTGGGGGTTTGAGTCATCTGCCTGGTCACTGGTATCTGTGATCACCTGGGCTGTCCTGGGGACCATGTGAGCATCCCTGTGGGGCACAGGACATGAAGAAGACCTGTTGCACTGGAGGTTTAGAGACTAAGCAGAAATATAGGCACTAGTGAAGGGGAGTCAGAGGGTAGTTTTAGGGTGTGTGTTTTAGTGTGAGCTGAATCATTTGCTCTGCCTTGCTCTGCACCAGGGTTGCGATGGGATGCAAGGCACCTGCATTCAGGCATCTCCTTCAGACCTGCACCTTAACCACTGTGTTCTCATTGCACTGATTCCTCCCAGTACACCAGATTAAACCCCAGCTCACTCATGCTGGGGGAAAACCAGGTACCACTAAATCCCAGATGCGAAAAACCTTCCATTCGGCTCCGGATATGCAAAACCTCATGCTTGTTGCAGGACAGCCCACCTGCAGATTGCAGCAAGCCCTCTGCCCATGCTTGCTGGAGGCCTAAAAATTCATTCCGGTTCTCCCAGCAAAGCCAGCTAGCTACCTGTGGTGAACTGGGTGAGGGCTGGCCGGCTCTCGTTGGCACCCCGGAGGGCGCTGACAGCAAGGTGGTAGCGGGCGCCAGGGCGCAGGGCCTGCAGGGAGTACTGGCTGAGGGGGGGCTGCAGGCGGAAGGTGGTC